TGATTTTTGAAGATATGTGCATTAAACGCCAAACCGCATGGCATTTTAAAAGGCAAAATGTCAACACTTTAAAATCGCAAAAGGACGGGAAGATAAATAAAATTTAAATTGTTGTTTCGATTGTATGAAATCTAAAGCTCAGAACTTTTTTGCTTACCTTGTATATATATATATATATATACAAAACTAATATAGTTGTCATCTATATAGTTACTATCACAATCTCTTTTTCTCTGAGTGTAGAATAAACAATCGTTTTTACGAAGAGAGCTAAAGTTTTAAAAAAATATATATTTTCTTATTTAAAAAATATTTATATTAATATAAATATAAAAATATTTATATTAGTGTAAGAAAATATATTATAAATGCCCATCGAATGTTTTTTTATTTTTCTCTCAGTGTAAATATCTAATTATTATATAAATGTATATACAGGGTAGGCCAAAAGTCTGGATAAAGCAAAATATGTCATAAACAATGCATTTTAGAAAAAAATGTTTCAGACAAAAGTTGTAAGGCTTAAAAAAACGCATTCAATGATAGTAGTTATTTGACATAGGATGATATCGCCAAAGTCAGAACAAGGTCAACTTTGCTTTTTTAAATAGAAATACATTTTTTATTATGGCATTTTATTCTACGTAAAAAAGCAAACAACTTTTGCTTGAAAAAATTTTTTATACGACCTCTATTTTCTAAGATATTTACGTAAATATCTACAAAATTATTGGTTTCAATAATTTTTTACTTGAATTCTATCAACTTTACCGAAAAATATCAAGAGATAAAAATTGCTTATTTTGTTTTCATAGAGCTCTAAGAATTTTTTCAGAATTTTGTGTTAACTTTTTAGTACTTCAAGAAAATGCGAGAAAATGCAGTACTAAAAAGTTAATATAAAATCCTGAAAAAATTCTCAGAGCTCTATGAGAACAAAATAAACAATTTTAATCTCTTGATATTTTTCGGTAAAGTTGATAGAATTCAAGTAAAAAATTATTGAAAGTAATAATTTTGTAGATATTTACGTAAATATCTTAGAAAATAGAGGTCGTATAAAAAATTTTTTCAAGCAAAAGTTACTTGTCTCTTTACATTGAATAAAATGCTGTAATAAAAAATACATGTTTCTATTTAAAAAAGCAAAGTTGACTTTGTCCTGACCTTGGCGACGCCATCCTAGGTCAAATAACTACTGTCGTTGAATGCGACTTTTTAAGCCTTACAACTTTTATCCGAAACATTTTTTTCTAAAATGCATCGTTTATGACATATTTTGGTGTATCCAGACTTTTGGCTCATCCTGTATGTAATCGTAATATTCGATTGAAGAAAAATAATTGATGTGTCGAACATTTTATAAAGATTACGTCTGAAGTTGTATCGTATGATTTTCGTTTTTTTTCTTTTTTGTAGTCCGTGAGGAATAACAGACATGACTTACGAGATGACGATATCGACGTAGTATTCGATAAGGAAAACAAAAAGATTAATGCTGCAATTCTAAGCAGAATTGTAAATCTCGTAACTTGTTCTCGTAAAATTCGTCAGAATTTATAAGTAGATTTACAAATCTATGCAATATCATATGTCGTACAATCACTTGTAAATATCGTAAATTACATGAAATATTAGGTATTTACGAATAATTGTACGACATATGATATTGCATAGACTTGTAAATTTACTCATAAGTTCTGACGAATTTTACGAGAACAAGTTACGAAATTTACGATTCTGCTTAGAATTGCAGCATAAGTCTTACCTGGATCTGACGAGCTGATACCGGTCGAGCTTCTCGCTGATGGGCTCGCGACGATGCTTTTGATGGAACTGATGACCCTGATTGCTGCGCTGCCCGCTGCAACTCAGGCAACGGCGAGCTCCTTGCCAAACAACCAGCATCACTGCGACAGATAAGACAGAACAAATGTTAATATGAGCTTACCAATCATAAATATGTCAAGTCGCAGATAATACAAATTTGATTTACTCACAAGAGTACTTCTGTACTTTTCTTGAGATCAAAATCGATCCAAAACACCTTCCGAAATGTAAAATGCCACATTGGATTGCAACACAAATGATGTGGCATTTTATATTTAAAAAGGTACTTTATCGATTCTGATTAAGAAAATTACAAAAGCAAATAATGATAGATTGAGAGTCCCTTGTCAGACAGAAGACGTCACTAACTAATGTCTCGCAATTTTGATTTTGACGTTATTAACAAGTAAACCTATCCAAAAGGTACAGTCCGATTTCTTTCTAATTTGACACAAATATAAAGGTACAATAAATATTTTTTTATTTTGGCCCATTTTGAGTTTCACGGGCAGTTTATAGCTTTTTAATGTTCTCACTCCTATCATTAATAAGTACAACAAAAATGCATAAGAAATAAAATTGTATATAAAATAT